TAAAGAATAGATTCAAGAATATCGATTAGAACAAAAAAAGAAGAATATGTCAATATCATTTCAATTGTCATCGATCTGACACGAAATATTGAGAAGAAAAATAAGATAACAAACGTTTGTATTCATTATCCTATCAATACAATTTACTGAGTAGTGATAGACAATGATTTTAAAAATGAGACTATTTCAGATATCATACTCTTTGATTGTTGAATATCAAAAAAGAAGATATTCATCGAGATGACCATCGAAATTAGAATAAATTATTTTATGATCATGATTGTTTCGAATGAGACAAGCAAATTCATCATTATGACGAATTTCTACTATATTCTATAATGAATAAATATATATTGTATGTGTATTTATTGCTATTCCAATCGTTGAAGAAACATTCTCAAATAGGTTTTACTTTGCTAAGATCAAGATCCTATAAAAAGATCAGTACTGTTTTAATTAATTCAAATAATAAACTTTTTATTTACCTGACTATCGATTTGAATATCAAGAAAAGATAATGACCATCATTTTTTTCATTTGACAAGAAAATTACAGAGACAAATAAAAATTGATTCATTGTTTGTCAATATTTGTATTCCAATGAATGAAATTAATTTTGAGCTCTTTCTTTTCGAAATGATCTATTCAATAAACAAATGTAAAGAAAATATATAAAAGAATCAACTTATATGAGAAAGTATTATAGTGATACTTTATATTTTTAATTCAATAAATACATTTTGTTACAGATATGTATTTTTATTACTTATTCATTGAAAATTTCTCCAGTCAACAATCGTCACCAAGTATTGTTTATCTAAAACCAAATATTTTTTAATGATGAAAAAAAAAATTTCTAATTAAACTTACGTATATGATCGATTGTAATAATTCTCGCTTGATAAAATTCTAAATATCGTTTTGAATATGATACATAAAAATTGTCGATTTCGATACTTGCTGTTTTTGTTTTTTGTTGCTAGAATAATATCGACTATCGATCGATAATAAAATAAAAAGATGAAAGAAGAAAATATTCTCACTTCATATCTTGATGCATTTGTTGAAATGCAGGACCATTATCAGGTATTTGAATAAAGACACATGATGGATGATCAACAGACAATACCACCAAAAATGAAACGATGAGAAAGAAGTTTTGTAATTGCAAGTATTTTATATGAAAAATATTGTTTATCATTAATTGATTAATAATGACGTAATTCGACTTTCAACAATATTACGAAAGAGTGCAGACCGATGACGAATTCTGATATTTACTGTATTGCTTGTTTATATGACTATTGTTTCGGTTTAAATGAACATTTGTAAATAATAAAATTAAATTGTTGAATATTTTATGATATTAGATCAAATTCTAAATCATTTTTAAATATTTCTTTCAAGAAAAATTTTAATTCTAGAAAAAAGATATATGATTTTTCAAAATTGACGGTTGAAAAATATATTTTAATTACAATTCTACTAATATCTTTCAAACAAAATATTATCAAAATATATTTTGAACTTTGCATTCTATTTAATTTTTCTGTAGCTAATTGACCAATATTTGTTAATCACCTTCTTGAATGTTCACTTCTATCTACAAATGAATTTGTTCAAGAATAAGCTTGCGTTCAGTATGGAAGTATAAAAACACTTTCTGCTGCATAAGTAATTGAATAAAGATCGATGATGTATGATGAAGATGAGAGACAAAAATATTGTTATACAGTTTGAACTAGTTGTTCATATTTGATAATTCCTAAAATTGAATTAAATTATCATTGTTATCCCCCTAACTAACAAATCTTAAATATGAACTACCTATGCCATACATCAACAGATATATTCTAATTTGAAGATATTTATGGTGTATGTAGTGTGCATACAATTTCAAATTTCAGCAGAATTTAGTTTGCTTCTTTCGTCACAATTGGATTGAATTACATCAGAAAAAGTATGTTTTAGAAACATATTTAAAAAAAAAGAAATCTTACGAAAATCAGAATGTTGGATCTATGTCGTCTCCTACTTTAAAATAATGATAATTTGGAATTTTTTCTTGAGGTTTAAAAAATAAAATCTTTGAAACATACATTTTCTTATGTAGCTCAACTAGCTTCGTCTAATCATGATGGAAAAAAGAAACTAAATGTTGATGAAATTTGAAATTATAGGCACATTATATACACTGTAAATACCATAAAATTAGAATATCACAGTGTGTACATGTTATGTAAATTGTTAGTTCACAAGTGAGAGTGAGGATTAAAGAAACAGAATAGTAGACCGGCATATATTAAGTTTTATAACAATATACCACTTTTCATAAATTATTTCAAGTGTATAGTCATAGATATTTGACGAAAAAAAGTTGTTTTTCATGTTTAATACATTTTAAATCGTGCATCATAGACAAGAAAGAGACTACTGCTATCAGAATAATTTACTCACATGTAGTCTAGTAAAAAGTGACATTTCTTCTATCATTATATTATTTAAAGTAAAATTCTATGTTATTGATTATTGTAAAGATATTATTCCAACACTAATTATGCAATGTTGTTATACCGAGTATATCGATCGTTTTGTCAAGTGTGTTCAATAGAATGTTCATCAAAGTGATGCACTGTGTTTCATACTAAGGCATTTATGTTAGATTGAATAAATATAGAGCACATATTTTGACACCAATTGAGTATCATTAAGTGGAAATATTTCAACATTCAATCTCAGTTTTAATGTATCAAAATTTCCTTTGGTAACTATTCAAACGTTGATGATAATAATAATGATAAGTTTTCACAATGATACTGAGACGATTCGTTTCCTATTGAAAACAAAAGCTATAGCACAAAACTTGAGTATTTTGCACTCTATAATTTATAAATTATTATCCATTTCTAAGAAAAATGAACTCGGCAATGCTGATAGCGATCGAACTCGAGTTTTCGCCGTTAGAAATAGCAGGAGTGAGGGCACAAGTCTATCTTCGAATCAAAATACTTGAAAAGTTTTCTAGAGGATTCTAGGGTTTTTTTTAGAAACTTACTGTCTGATTCGCTTGATTAGCTCTATTTTCAATTTCGATTTAGCCATATTGTAACCCAATGTCTACTTTATAAATCCCGAAATTTTTAGATGTTTTCGATCTTTCCTTAAAAATTCCGACCATTTTTACTGAATTTTCGACCTCAGAATTCGCCCATAGATAGCTCTAATGGGCCATAGAATATCATAAAAGTTTTAGCCAAAAAGAATGATCCTTTCTCGAAATATTGGATTTTCAATTCCACTTGAAAATACATCTAACCAAGCGAATCAGACAGTGATTTTCCAAAAACTTCCTGAAATCCTCTAGAAAACTTTTCCAGTATTTTGGTTCGCCGGTAGACTTGTGTCTTCACTCAAGCTCTTTCTAACGACGAAAACCTGAGCTCGATAGCTATCACCGTTGCCGAGTTATTCAACAAACAACCGAGTCCATTCTTTTTTGAAATGGATAATAGTAATGTTCATTGCAAAGATATTCATACTATTCAATTATAGTGATTACTAATTCATTTTTCCAAATACTTCCCACGTACTCTCGTTTTTTGGCAATTGCGAAAAGCTGCGACGTAGTTACGCGCAATTGCATTTTTTTCATCGTGACTACGCGTAACTGCGTTGCAGTTTGATCGTAATCGAACATACAGGTTCAAAATAATGAGAATCTTGTAGCTTAATCATGACAAATTCGATTTCAGTCATAAAAGTATCTCATTTCAGACAGAAATTTTTGATAGCAAACAAATATGTATATGAAAATACCTTTAAATTGAGATTGATTGATTGTATTGAGTTCTGTTGTGTCCATATCATTATTGGAATAGAACAGTCAAAACTCACGCCATTTTTCAGCTAAAAAAGGCTTAACTCATCTATAAAAGATATAGAAAGAAGTAGTACGATAATATAGAAATCTTTATAGACAAATTAGAAATGGATATATGATTTATTTGCGTGAGTTAGGAAACAAATGTCAACGTTATAAGAACTGAATTATATATCGATAAGATGTCGATTTCTAATCGAAAGACACAGAAAAGTGTTCCAAAGATCACTAAGCTATCAGTTGCATACACAAAAAAGCCAAGAAAACATTTCAAAATGCTGCTGTCATCTCCACGTTACAAAAAAGAAAACGATATATTGCTCCATTAATCCTACCAATGACATCATTAAAAAAACAATTATTTTTTAAATGTAAAGTTGATTATAAAAATAGTCATCATATGATATTGATTAACATTACTCATATGCATGTGTTTTTTATTTTTGTCAATAGAATGACTGTTTTTTTTAAAAAAAAACCAACTGTAGATGACGCTATTTGTCGGTATGACAAGTTTATTATTTCATCTCAATCCTGCATTCTAACCAAGAAAATATCGGAGATTATCTTTAAAAAAATCAGCCTTACAAGAGGCTTTTCTCGAATCATGATTAATAGATATATCAAAAATGATCCTATTTCATGCCTGAATGTAATCACAATAGAAAGAAAACAAATATTTGAATGATATTCTAAATGAATTAATCGATGGTCTAACAAAATCCTCTTTAAAAAAAGGTACATGAGACAAGATAATAGTAATTTATCATACAAACAAATAATCAATCATTATTATACGAACATTTGAGAAATTCTCAACAAAAACTTTTCAATCACGATGACAAACCTTTTTTTTTTTCAAAAAAAAATATACTTTTTTATTTCCTTTAAACAAAAAAGTAGGTACATATGCAAGAACCTAGCAAAAAAAAAAAGTGAAAACCATTGCGCATTGACACATACACTATCCGAGACTTCCAGTTTCACATGTATGAGATCACAAAAAATATCACTTTCGCTTTTATAATACACAAAATGAAAAGACAAAAACGAAAAAAAAAAAAAAAAAATGAAACTCTTGAATGTTTTAAGTAAGTAAATTCTCGTTTTGTTGAATTGATTACGGAAGACCTAAAATGAATAATAAAGAAGGAAAAATAATAATAATAATATTCTTAGTTTCTTTTATACATACTACTATTATAAATATCCGATTCAACAACTGCTACATTATACAAAATATATTCCATCGGTGTAAGTTTATCATTGAAATGCAATGCAATTTGTTCATTTCGAGCTGACATTATATATGGTGCTAATTTAGGATGTTGAGCGATAGACTAAAATACATACAAACACAAAATTAAATATATTTTTTGAATAATCATTTTTCGTATATACCTGACCATCGAGCATTACTTTAACGAAATGAAGTGGCCTGAAATAAAAGATACAAAAATAATTATAAGATTTTTGTTTTTGTGTTTAATTACCATTGTTGACCAATACTTTGTTGAAAATGAACTTCAACAATACGATTTTTAACAATCATATTGAATGCATCTGTTGCTTCTTGAGTCCAGAAATTTTCATTACTTGGAAATGCCTTTTATTAAAAAAAAAAAAAAGAAACCAATAATTCAAATAAAAGAAAAATTTAATCAAAAATTTTCACTTCATTTAATGTACAAGCAACTGTCATAGCTGGTAGACGTGTTAAAGATTCAATCAATGGATAGATTTCATTCGGTGGTTTTGATTCAGAATTACCATAATCAATAAAGACAATAAGTACAGATTCATCTAAAATCAAAAAAAAAAAAAACAAAAATTATTTTTTTCTTAAATTTAATTCTATATATATTACTATTATTCAAAACGACTCGAGCTCGATACCATAAATGATCTTCACTAAATCGTGCTACACAAAAATCTCCAATTGATATATTTTGTAATGGTACAGTTGTATTTGATGGTTTACTATAATAATTACTAAAATAGAAAAGTAAAAGAAAAAATTATTAAATTAAAAATATTTTTTTACTTCATTTCAATAGACATCATATTAAATTGTTCAGTAACACGTGGATCTTGATTTGAAACAAAAAATGCTGATGGATGATCAACAATAGGTATATCAGCATTACGCCATATAGTACCAGTTGGTATAACTTGCATTTTAACTCGAATTTTATTATCAATTATATTTGTTTCATTTATATATGAATCTATTGGATTTAAAATTCGTTGTTGATGATTATTCATAGATACATTTGAAACAGTTTTTATTGATGATGATGATGGATATTGAGGAGATAATTTTGTTTGTTGAAGATTAATATTATCTTGAACTGATAATGGTCGATGAAATGCAGATTGTTGTTGTTGTTGTTGTTGTTCTATTGATGATTTTATTGGAATTGTTTCACTAAATAATGTTGATGTATTTCTTGCAGTAAATGTATTTGTATTATGATTTAATGAACGTGTTGTATTTGGAAATATATCACGTTGTAAACGAATACCATTACCTATTGATTCATTTTTTGTTATTGATGTTTGATTAATAATTGGTGTTGAAGGACATATTGGAATATTTAATTGACGTTTTTCATTATTTATTGGTAGAATATTATTTATAGATGTATGAAGACTATGTAATGATTCTGTTTGTAATTCAACAACTGCAAGTTTTTCAGCAACATTTAAAAGAACTTTATTACATTTAATAGCTTTTTGAGCTATTAAAGGTGTTATATTTGAATCTAATTCAATTGTACGTCGTTTACCAATCCATACTTGTTTAACTTCATCAACATATGATGTTACTTGAATTAAACGATTATTAAGACGATCACACAAAAAAAGAATATTTTCTATATCATCGAATAATTCAATATTATTTAAATTATTTAATGATGACATATCTGAAAGAAAAAATTTTCTAAGTCAAAAAAAGAATTGTTAATATATATAATGAATAAAATTTCATATATAATGAACTAAAAAAATAAAAATAAAAATCTTGACATAATGAAGAATATCCATCAAGTCTAAAGTTTGTAAATAATTTAAATTAGAAGTAAATTTAGTTTCGTTTTTTTTTTCTCACGTGGTGTTAGTTATCGAAATAGAGAAAAATATTATAGGAGAACAAAAGTCAAAAGATCATATATGTACTACACAATAAAAGAGAGAGCGTGGTGAACGTTCTACATCTAAACCCTAGATATAATAAAAAATTCTATATTATTAATTTAAAAGATAATTAATTGGCTAATAGATAACTAGTGAATACACTTTGAGATAAATAGAAAGTTGAATGCATAATGGAAGTATAGTCAATATCCGACTGAGTAAAGCGTTATATATCCACATATATATTAATTTCCTATACATTGATATCTTCAACAACTGATAAATTAAACGAAGTTATGTTATGATATATAAAACTCATCGTATTATTTTCTCTAGTTTATGGTTCGATTCCAACTTGAAAATTGCTTTTAAGTTTGGACTTTATGCATAAGGCAGATCTCAAAAGGATGATAACGACTCATTGACCTTTCTTACAAAGTTACGACCGTTGTACAAAAATTTTAGTTGATGACAAATGAATTGAATGGTGATATTTTGACTTGAAATTTTGCCAATAGAATGTTTCCTTCACGAGATATTGTAATTCCAAAAATCACTCATATTCCACGAAAGACTCAAAAATCTCATTTTTGTAATACCGTACCTTAGATTAAAATTTCTGTAAAACAGCTATAACTCTGTAGTAAAGATCAAGGAGTTCTTATTGTTTTGAAAATTCCTATTCGTCGTTATGATATAGAATCTAAAAAGTCATACAGCTTGATTACGTTATTTTTGATAGTTTTGTACAGTTTGCTGTATTTATGCAAAACACCGGAGGATATTTATTTTGGTACAGTCGAATAGGGCATCAGTTACTCTATCGAGCTATATAGTTTTCATTTCATTTATTTTGCATCTTGTTCAAAAATTTGATGAAGTCCGAGAAGCGCTGAAACGAAACTTTTGCACAGTTATATTTTAGCAATAGTAAGCTCAATAATAACGAAAGTTGATGTGAATGAAAGAGATTCATCACAATTCCTCGTGCAAAAAAAAATCCAACAGAAGCGATTCGAAATTGAAGAGAAAAGGGATGTTTGGTGGTAAATTTTCGCACATTTTTGTGTCAGTGAAAAAACCAAGTTTGTATTACTTTTCACAAAAACTCACTTGTAAAACTCAACGTAAGTCTAATCAAAACTGTAAAAACGATAGAGATATCAACGCTCTATTCAGCTACATGTTGAAGAAAAGAAGAATAGATGTTTAAAAAACAGCCGAAAACCATATATGAAAAAAGTTCACGAAAAATTCACTAATTTTATAGTAGAAATATAAAATAAGTCTATCCAAAAAATATATAGTTTGATAGAGAAAAGAACGGTTTATTATTCTATATAAGAATAAAAAGTTTCAATACCCTAGTAAATAATAACCATCGAGAAAATTATCTCAGAAATGATCTGAAAACTGCTGGCTAAAAAAAAAATGGTTTTGACTGCTTTTTAATATTTATCAAATTTTTGGGCCAGATCCAACGGAAATAAAATGAAAACTATATTGTTCGATAGGGTAATCGATGATCTATCCAACTGTATCAAAATAACGTAATCAAGCTGTATAATCCCCTAGGATTATGATATTCGGAAGTAACGCAATGAACTATATACAGTCATGTATTTCTCAAGAAAAAAAGCGATTTACTATTTAACGGACATCTCTCGTGAGTATTGAATCAATCTCTAGTCGCAATACCTTGAAATCAAATTTCATATAATGTTTGCATTTTCATTATCAACCAATGGTTAATTTGTTAAAGGATAAAAGATTCACTGACTATTGTAAATATAAATATTTATTTTAATTACCAAGTAAATCATCTTATGAATGAGCAAGAAATATGTGGAAAGAATGTATCGAAACATACCCAAAAGACGAAGAGGTAGTGTATATTTGCTGAAATATAATGATGATGATATGACAAATAACCTACTCACATATGTCTGAGTTTGTTTCGTATAAAAAAAATAGTGCGCCTAGACGAATTTAAAATAACGAAATAAGACATTTTTATTATATTGGTCTTTTTCTATTGACTGTATTATTGTTCTATATATCATTAGAATGATATTATTTATCAAGAATTACTTTCTCAGCAATTGAAATTCAAGCAATAGACAATTTCGTCAAATTCAAAGTAATGACTATACAATCACAGCTCACGTCACAAATCTTTGATTTTTTAGTTTTATCTTTTTATGAACAAGCATTGCTACCTTTGACAACAATATTGTTCTTAAGAAATATCTTAAGATGTATTTGATAATGGTTTAATTTTTGATGCATAAGTATAATCAGTTTAAAAAAAAAAAGCTCGAAACTCAATTCTGAGTATTTTTGAATTTTCTAGAAAGTATGCCTTTAAATAGTAGTCGTTGGTATAAACGTCTTCGATATCAGAAGTATCAAGAATTTTCTAATAATTTAATCTTTTCAATTAATAAAAAAGAAAAAGCAATCCGCTTACCTTAAATACTTAAGTCATCAATCTATGTAAGTCAAGATGTATATGATTGATCAATTGTAAATATTTAACAATGGAAATATATTAATCTAATGATTTTGATTTGATGAATTACAATTGAATAGAATAATGAACTTTGAAATTTTGTTAGATATTTATATTTGTCTATTTACTAATAATTCACTATTGATAATTAAATATTGATTTATGAAAATGTAAAAAAAAAACAACAATCTGAAAAAAATATATATAAATTCATTTCATAGGAGTCTATTTTTTTCTTATCTTTGAATGAACACATACACACACGCACACAGAAAGAGATAGTAGTGGTTTTTGTCGTATAGTAAAAATGAAAAAGCACATAGGACATTCAAAATTTGTTTGTGTCGTTTATGAATCGACAAACAACAAAAAACAAACAAACAAACAAACAAACAACTTCAACTTTTCAGATATTATTGTTCAAAATCATCTTCACTAATAGGTACATTGAAAAGAATATATTCTTGTTGACTAAGACAAGGTGCCATTTGTTCAGCAATAAAACGATTTGGTCTTGGTTCAATACGTTGTTGAAGATTAAGTAAATTTGTTACAGACTACAAAAAAAAGTTCTTCAATGGATTTCAAAATTTCAAAATTTTCCTACCTGATTACCAACAAAAATTCTGACAAAATGTAAAGGCCTATAACATTAAAAAAAAAAAATTATTTTTTTTAATTCTTACTTTATTTTAAGTAAACACGATCAATCACAATAATATTTTTCTTTTCCTGACAACATTTCTTTTCATGATGTGCGGGAACAATTTTTTTTGTCCCAACCTCCTGATAACCTTTTTTCCACTAGTTCCAGTAGCTTCTGTTCTATTAGTCCCGATCCGGTCTTGGTAACCTCTTTTCTGTTGATCCTCGTTCGATTCCGGTAAATTCTTTTCTATTGGTTCCGGTCGGATTCAGTCTCGGTACTGGTCCGGTCCTGATAATTTGGGTTTTTTTAACTAGCGAAAGCTATTCCAGAATTTATTTGTATTGCATCTAAAAAATTCTTGAATTCTCGTTGTATCAGTTCTAACATACGTTCAAATTTTACCCCCCGTAGATCTCTAGTCGTTATGGTCAACAAAGAAATGGATGATGCTTTAAGTCTTATTAAACCCCTCCCCGCATTAGAAGACCCCTAGTCTTCTATTATGTGTCGTCGTAAAATTTTTTTAGAGGGGTCTTCTATTGTGTCCTAGGTTTTTTACCAATTATTAACTGAAAGTAGTTTTCCAGAAATCCGAGGCGATTTTCAGGATTCTCATAGGGATTTTCACGGCTTTGAGGATCGACGGATACATTTGGACTCATTTTCTAAATATTACCAGCTGAAGAACCTAAAAACTGTGCATTTCTGGACGGAAACTCCCTAATTAAATTTCCTAATTACCAAATAATTAATTAATTAAAGGGAGGTCTTCTAATACGCCCGATGAACTTTTTGTCCAAGGGGGTCTTCTATTATAGGGGAGTCTACTAATATGGGGGGGGGGGGGGGGGCTTCTAATACGGGGAGGGGTTTACAAACTATGAGAAATAATCCTGTTTATATTAAAGACGAGGAAAATTAAAGTTTAAAATATGAGATTCATTGACAATGGCGATTTAGGATGGATATTATATTTGTAATATCAAATTTTAATTAGAGTTTTGTTGTTGAAAATAGAAAAGCTATTTGAAATTACCATTGTTCGGTGCCTTCATCTTGATTAACAAAATGAACTTCAATTATTTTTTCAGTTACAGCATCTTTAAATATTTGAATTGTTTCTTCTGGCCATATGTTTTCATTTTCATTTTGTGAACGAGGAAAAGCCTAGAAGAAAATGTTTTTTTATTTTTATTAAAAATTTTTCTTATATATCTTTATACTTCTGATAGACTACAACCAATAGCTTGTGCTGGTAAATCTGTAAATAATTTATGAATTGGAAAAAATTCATTTATAGATTTAATTTCAATATTTCCAAAATCAACAAAAACAATTTTTATTTGATCATGTTCTTCACATGTTATTAAACGTGCTCGATACCAACGATTATCTTCACTATATTTAGCAATACCAAAATCACCAATAGCAATACTTTCTAATGGCATTAATTGGTTAGATATTTCTAAATCAGTATAACAGTCACTAAGAAAAAAACAAAACGAGAATTTATGATGATGATTTTTATTTAATTTTAATATACTGAAGTTCATTTTGCATTTGAACAAATTTTTCATATACTTTTGGATCAAGATTTTCAACATAAAATCCTGATAATGAATCAAT